TTTTGTATATAAAATAAAAAATGATGGTAATAACTTTAATTTTTATATCGATTTTTTCAAGTATTTAAGTACTAAGTTGAAGGAATAACGTTTGCTGTAGAAGATATTGCTATTTTTAAAGTTCTTTCTCATTTTATTCTGTGTTTTACCTTTTTCTATCAATATACGTTCTTGTTTACTTGAATATTATTTTGAAATTCATGACGTTGAGTGGCGTAACTGCATAAGTACGAAGTTATCGAAGGATCGCCGAGGGGACGAGAAAAGATATCAGTTTGAAGTTGCAACGGTGTAGTAACGGTTCATATATGTAAAATGAAAGAAATGCAACATTCTTTTTCTTTTACTTCTTCGTTGTTGTTATTTCTTACTTTTTCTACCTTCGTATTTCTCTCTAGTTTATTCATTCTTCTATTTTATCATCGTATCGAAAGCATAACTTAGTCTCACATGAGTAGAACAACCTCTTATTTGAAAATGTAGTGACGTAACGAAACTGATAAGAGATGGTGAAGATTTATCTTCATTACTTCTATGAGTAAACTTTATCTTCGTAAAGTATTAAAATTGTGCGCATTGGATGATATTATTAATATAATGCGTTATAATTTTTACTTTAATATTACAATTAAAACTACTATACATTATTGCAATTGTTGATGAATAAATCAGTGATTATGTAGTACTGGAAAATATTCATTATCATAGAGAAATAATATAAAAAACTGATATTATTTTCTTTTATACTAGAGATATATTGATTATATTAAAACCGTTTTATTGAGCATTATTATCTTATTACTTAGGGCGTTTTTAACTAATATACTATATTTCGATAATTTGAACTATATAACCACTTGATTTCAACTATATAATAACGATTTATTGTATAAATTTATTTTTTAAATTGCTGTGTACATTATTTTTTACTTGAAAAATATTATTTTAATGATTTTCCTTTCCAAACCATTATAAACGAATACTTTTTTATGTTGGTTTTCTCGTTACTTTGGTTCACCACCGCACATTGTACTGCCGCAGGGTTGACACGATGATACCTCAATGGAAGCCATTCAATTACGTAGATTTAATTGAATATTATATATTGGAGTTGAAAAAGCTAATTTTCCAATTGTTAATTTACACGAAATGCCAATTGTTTAGTATATAACTATAATTATTTCATTCATAAAATAATAAAATTTTGAGAAAAATACTTCGAAACACAATGTTGTGTTAGTTTAAATGCATTTTTTATATTTGAAATATGCACAAACCGCATCTCGTATTTATAATAATATTGTAATAGTGTTGGTATATTGAAATTATATTGATGTTGCTGAACAAATATTACATAGAAATATTAATTAAAATAAGAAATTAAAATAAGTATCCAGGATTTATTTTTGTACGTATAATTGGGATTACAATAATTTTTAAGACTTTGATTTGCAATGAAATTAGAATCCGTATACAAGTATAAAATATGTATATAGGTATAGAATATGAGGTATTATAATTAATAAATTCATTGTGATTGGATAAATGGATGGAACAATTCAGTTTTACTATTTTTCTATTTCGATTTTAACTTGACGATATTATGTTATACCACATGGATGTGCGATACTGTCTTTTGGCTGTTTTCTACCTTATTTCTATTTAGATAGACACGAATCTCGATTTCGGAACTCAGAGGCAGATAGTTGCGATTTTTCAAGACTATTCTTAATGTAATTTCCTACCATGCTTCATTTAACTATTATATTTTTTCTGAGATCAATCTGATATAGGCACGCTGAACTGTGTTAAAGAAAATCGTCTACAATAATGATTACTATTATACTTAGGGAGAGTCAGCCTTTAGTCAGCTATTATAATATTATTGATATTTTTTATATGATATAATCTTTTTCATCAAATTTGGAATATTGTTATTTATTTTTAAATTTTCGAATAACTTTATTTTATTTAATGCCGCTTACAAAATTTAGAAAAATAATAGATAAAATTGGGACGAATTTCATTGCAATTCACTTAATTTTTTCTTGGTAATAATTGTATCTCTGAAAGTTTTAATAAATTTAGGTGAAATTATTAATTATATTTCTTTATATTCTTTTCTTGTGAACTTGAATAAGAATATTTATAAATATAATGAAGTCACAAAAAAAACAGGCATAAAATATTATAAATTAAATCTAGTTATTTAAAATTAAACTGTTGTTTAGAGTTAAGAGAAACTGGACACGAAAATCTGAAATGGATTAGATAAAGCAATTTTGTGCATTTCATGAGTTAATGGAAACTTATAATTTTATTGTGAGAATTTAGTATTAAAAATAGTCTTATAGTTTATGTAATCATTTGTTCAAAGTATTTGTAATTTATTTTATTATAATTAATTAGAATTAATATTTATAAAACTGAATAATTATACTAAAATATAAAGTTTCTTTCTTTGCTTTTTAATACATATACATACATAAGCATAAATAAATATATAAGATTAATTTTAAAAATCAATTTTTAATTATATTATCTTTATATTATATTATATTATATTTATATTAGTTATATGTATGGTATAACTATCATATAATATAACTAATTATCATTTATACCGATTTTTAAAAAAAAGTTTTATTTAAAATTGTGTATTAAAATATAAAATAATGATAACACTTGTATATCGTAATAATGTATTAGAAACAATACTGTTTCTCGAGCAATCGAAATATGCGAAGATTGCTTATTTTTATATTTCAATATTTTTTATTCCTTCAATTTTTTACTGCCTCATAATAAATTCTAGAAAACACTTTGTTTTTTAGAATGAATATTTGAAATACTTGTAGCTACAAAAGTTGATGAGTCCCAATCGTTATTTTCTAACATTTGGAACACCTAAAATTATGTTGCTAATATAAAATTATGATAAGGCTACTAAGTTATAAAATTTAATATCCATATACATAATATGTATTATGAATCAAAATAAAAATAAAATACGAATAACATATTTATGAATAAAAATTAATTTACGTAATTTTAATAAGTTTAAAATGTATTTTGTACTTTAGGAATAATCATTAGGCTGTTTTATTCATTGTCTATAACATTCGAGTAAGTGATCCAAAGTTATTGTCTGTATTATTAATTTTACTGTCGTATGTATTGTGTAATATGTCTATCGTATCTTTTTTTTAAGAGTGATGACCAAAATTTTGCAAATTTTGATAAACCGAAAATCATAATCCATTTCTTTTCATTGCTTATTGTTATTAATTTCCGTTGTTTTTATTATATATTGTTAAACTAAACATCGTCGATAAAGTACGTAGTTATCATCAAAGGTACGTAGTTTTCCCCCCACCTCTTTGCTTCAATTCTTGTGCGTCTTTGTCTTTGGACATATTATTAATGCATTTAATTTTTTTGTACTACGGTTAACTTTAAGAAGGACGCGATTAAAAGTGCGAACAGTAAAACTGTTTTTCACGTTTTTCCAGTCTAATATATGCATTTTATATTGAATATTTTTATTTGATCAGCAAATCTGCCAGGTTTGCCATGTTATTTTTTATTCTTGAACTTTATAAATTGTAATTTAAAATATAATATAAACAAAAATAGAATCAGTGTTTTCAATTTTTAGAAATAAATATAATAAATATTCCAAAAGGATTTTAATATCGTTAGTGTAGCAGCAATTATATTAGAATAATATTGCACATTAGTATTTGTTTAATTATAGGTTTATGATTTCCAATAGTTACTCGATAAAAGAGGATGTTTTAATTTTCATATTAATCTTTTATTTCCATACAAATAAACTAGATATTTAGTGTATATGCATGTCTAATATTTTTTAATTAAATTTGATCAGTTGTGTTCTATGACAATTTAAATGATCGATTATGCATTTTATAATCTCTATTTTTAGTTTTCTAAAAATTAAGGTCTTAGTCAAAGATAAAACTTCCATATAATTTATCAAATTATCAATTTTTCTGGCTTTAATTGGCCGTATTATTTTATAAAGGTGCCTTAAGGTAATATGTTTGTAAAAGCTCAACTACTCGATAAATCCATTTAGGTTGCTTAAGATCGGTTAACTATAGTTCGAGTTGAAGAGAGATAAATATATAGATAGATGAGAGAGTGAGAGATCGATAGTTAGATCGAGGGGTGGAGTATAGGAATAGCAGTCATTTTGTATTCTTCTCGTAAACGGATCACCTTGCGCTTTAATCCATCGAGCCACATTTAATAACTCAGCGAGAACTCCGGCCCACTAAGCTCCTGTCAGGCTCCTTTAGTAAAGCTTTAGCCTTCTCTCTTTTTCCGTCATCGCTTTCACGCTTCTCGTTCGGTACGACAGTAGCCATATTCCGTTAACTACTGGTGCTACCCTTGTGAGTACTCGCTTTACGGGCACGGGCTTTCCCATTTTATGCGCCGCTTCCTATAAGGAAGGATCGCGAGATCATCCCTTCCACGTTGTAGCGTAGTCTCAGCACTCGTGACGCCCGATCTCTTCGTGCTACGCGTTGTGTTACTGTTCCTTTTCAAGTTCCTTACTGGAGTATCTGTTTCTTTATCTCTTTCTCTCGCCCAATCTTTCTCCTAGCTTGCTTCGGATTTTACGTTCTTTGATCAACCATTTTACCATCTTGAAATCGGTGGATGAGAGTACGAAAAACGCTTCGGCCCAGCTTTTCTCTAGGATGCAGCTTTTATGTGGATTAGATGGTATATTTTCTTGGGCGATTTCTTGAGATTTCCTCTTCTTTTTTCTCTACCTTTCCAATGGCGTGTTTTTCGTTGCTAATTCGACATTTAAATCGTCCACTGGCGATTTTGCATTTTTAATACGTGTTACATTCTAGTCTTTCAAAATTGGAAAGTGAATTTTATTATTCATTATAAGATGATTATTTGTGCATGAAGTTATAGAATGTTTATTAAAGGAGATTTCCATTTCTTTATTATTGCAGAGGGGAAGCGATGAGCTTTTGTCGCAAAGTGGCGCAGTCAGTAATGGCGCAGCGATGAGTCCTCAGCCACATCACGCAGCCGACAATAACAACGACGCGAAGAAGGTAAGACATTAATTATTAATATTTAAAAAATATTTTTACGTTGAAAAGAGTCAAATTATTTATACATTTTCTTTTAAGTACATTGAATGTAAGAGCATGAAATAGAATCCTTATTTTTTATTAATCACGTTTTTCTGAACGTCATTACGATATCCCTTAAGTTCTCTAGTATCAGTGGAAAGATAATTGAGAACTTATTAGTTTTATTAGATAATAAAATAATACATGTATAATAAAATTGCTAATACTTGATCACGTCAAAAAGGGAAAAATATATTACTATTTCTTCATTCCTATTATTAATTTGGTGAAAGTGAAGCTAGAGTAAGAGAGAGAGAGAGAGAGAGAGAGAGAGAGAGAGAGAGAGAAAGAAAGAAAGAAAGAAAGAAAGAAAGAAAGAGAAGGAGCATTTAAAATATTTGTTTAAGTAAGCTCATTACTTGTTTAAAAAATATTATGCTTTAGTTTATAGGTCATAAGAATTGTACTAGACAATTTTGAAACATAGGAAACATTTAAAAATATTAGAAACACAAACAATTTTGTATTATAAAGTAAATATAAAATTAAAACGCCCTATAAGTTAGTGCAGTTATTTTTAATTCATATTTTATAATTATATTAAAAATGATAAATTGAAATAATTAAGATTTTCATTCGATGAAGGTATTACTATATCATTTAACTGCTATGTTACAATTAAAATTTGATATTTAATTATTAATAGAAAAATTATTATAAAATTCAAGTTCAAGTTAAAATATGAGAACCACAAATGTAAGAAATAATGTCTGCGTAGATTCATACTGTTTTTGAAGTTTATCGTGATCGAAAAAAGAGATTCTAGAAAAGTTTGCTCACTTTGAGGTTAGAGTATATTGTGTTCAATTATTTTATTTTGTTCTTGTATGAAGTTCTTCTTATTTATCTTTATGGCTTAAGCAAAAGTATGAACGATGATATAATAGACCTTCACGGAAATTTATACCAAAATTGTATATATAAGGATATTAAATTACAATAGGTTAAGACGAAGCTTCAGAAAAAGTATTATAATTTTACTAATTTAGTATAATAAAAATGTATGCGTGTTTATGAAATCAAATATACGCATTTTATTATATGACTAAATTTTCTCAACGTAGTATAGTCCAATGTAAAACAATAGTTATTAAATAGCCGATTTAAAAGTTATATGTATATTTAATTTTTTTTTTTTTTTTTTTTTTAAATAAATTATTTAGAAATATACATGTAATTTTAGACTTCAGTATCTTGATTTCAATAACATTAATATTACTGATTTACGAAAAAGATTAATTTATGCATTTTTTAAATAATAATATTATTTATTGATATTATTTTAATAACTATGAGGTAAGAAAAATGCATAGATTTTAAGGCTCAGGAATTTCGATCTATAGATACACAAATTATATAAGAGATAGTTGAAAGTTTGTTTACCCTGGAATGGCTTATTTTTTTTTAAGTTCTATTTAAACTGATTTTTTTTTATAGGAGAATATAATTAGTGCTTAGCAACAGGTTATTAAAAAAGAACTAAAATCCTAATATCCGAAATGTAAAAGTTCGAAAGCAATGTTCTAATAGAATATAGAAAATGGATCGAAAGTATCTTTTTATTTTAAAATGAAAGGTGCTTATTTCGTACAAACATCCATTCGAAGCTAATGAAAACTTTGGTTTCTCCACCGATATTTGCTTACTCTCGCATTATTTCTGCGCGTGCTAAATTCAGCCGGGAAGCAAAGATCCAACTGGTCGACCTTATTCATGGAGTTTCATTGAAACCTAATAATTGAGTGCATGCCCGCGTCTTTTGCGTATCGCTGCTCCTAAAGCTCGTGCATTTCTGCATACACGTTTGATGGAATATTTAGCATGTGCGGAGCATATAATATGAAAAAAAAAAAAAAAAATGAAAACGCCAAAGGGGTGAGTGGATTGCTGGACATCGTGCATATAGAGCTGTATTTGAGAAGGTCTCGCGCGGCTCTGCATTTTTTGTCTTTCTGTTCCGCAGATTTTGACGCGCAATAATGAATGATGTGCGCGAGGTTACATCGTTAATCACTTCGTAAGATAAGCGAGAGCTGGTGCAGAACAACAGTGGTGGTCTGCTGAGTAGCTCAACCAGAATACACCAAACTAAAACCTTTCTAGATTTTAGTTATTCCACTTTTTTCCATCTCTCATTCGCTGCTGCTTCCACTATGTTATTTTTTTCTTTCGCTTCTCGTTTGATACCGTTTAAAAGCTTGCTTACGAAAGCTTAAAAGGTGTAAGAGAGGAACGCGAACAAAAATTATGTTTTTCTTATAATTCACTTTTAAACGTAAGTAGTTGTATTACATTCGTTATTAAACGTTAAAGCTTGAGTATGATTAATAATATATAATTTCGTTTTAAATAATAGATACCAAATGACCAACGAATTATAAATTATGTTAATAGGAATATAAACCTTATGCATTGTAGGCAGCTCTGCTGACTAAATTTAAGTTATAGTAATAATTGCTAATGTGATACAATTTTTATTTTAAGCAACAAATTTATTATGAGTACGCCTTCTACAATTACGTGTGATTACTTAATTAATTTATATAATATAATAAAAATCTATTACAGTAATATCATATTTCACCATATCTTTTAGAGCCAAAATATAAAATTACATAGATATTTAAGGTTTTATTTATCCTGTATTTTTTTTTATTTTTTATTTTTAATTCAAAATGTCATCGCAGTAATTACAATTATAAATAATAGAATATTACAGTAATTATTACATTAATAATTTAGATGAATTTTCGGAAGACGGCAATGCAATTTCTCATAAAAGTTCGTCCTTGGAAATAAAAATCGAAGAAAGACTAACGTAAGAAGAGCTTTCACGAGTAAATTTCAATAATACCGCAATTTAAAAGAGGACGGTATTATTATGCCTCCTGTTGTATATAGTCAAGTCGAAAAACTCTTGTTCGCAAGGAGAGCAATGAACGACGAGAATGTAGAGGCGGGTCTGTGTCGCTTACGTATATTTGGCCCGGAGTTGGGAAGAGAGCTAAGACAACGCTGGAATGTGAAGAACGTTTACTGCCATTCGAAATCACCCTCCTTCTGCATAGTTCAAATTCTCTTCGGGGCATTTCAGTCCTTCAACTTCCACTGGGTTAGTTGCGATTTAGTATGTTTTTCTTTCTCATATGAAGTTCATCCTCAATTATTATCTCTTTTCTCATGGGAAAATGTTTTTATATACACATAAACAAAGAAAATAATTTTGAATAAGTATTTGCAATGTGTATAATACGATCTTGAAAATAATTTTATATTCTATTCGTAATTTGTAAAAAACGTGATTAGTAGTGGTTTTCACACAGAAATATAGCTATATTTAAATAAATTTCGCATCGTATACCAATGTATTTTTAGTATTTGATTATGTTAATTCAAGAACATATGTAAAATTATAATTTGTGTATCAATTTTTATCAAGCAGGACTTCGATTTACTAATTCTTCATGTGCATTTGGATCAGATCGTTCTATGTTAAGTCTTAATTATTTTCATTATTTATTTTAAAGCATGAATTATTACATTTGAATTACAATTGGAATACTCAGCTCTAATTGCACCAAGAGTTTCAAAAAGAAAATAATAGAAAATTTTGTTTAATAAAATAGAAAAATTATGGTTCCAGAACCAAATTCTCCTTGTTAAACATTTTTAAACAAATCACAGACTTGTAATGAGAAAAAAATAATCATTTTTATCATAGAAATGAAAATATTTTAAGTAAGACCTATGTTTAAAAAAAAAGAAGTGAAAATATACCTTTAGACGTTTATTTACACAGTTTCTTCATTAAGAACTACTTTGAATCTACGATTTCAGCATTAATTTACGAATTTATCGTTTGAACGTCAATGTAGAATAGCATTTTTATACCAGGAAAAAAAAACAACTTTCAAAATCGAGCTTTATTACTTGCCCAAAAATACTGATATAGATTTACAGGAGTAAGCTCTTCTTCGGTATTTGCCATGTAGTGTAGATCATGAGTTGCGAGGAACAGCGAATATAAAACATTTGAATATGTAGTTCATTGTAAGCTGGAGCGGCAATACGTGACTTCAGACAAAGAGAACATGTCACCTAATGCCTTTTCCAAGTATTGTGCTTGCACAAATGTGCTTCTCATTTCTTCGTCTCTGCGTCCTATGCAACGGCACACCATTTTTTTTATCCTTTCAATGCCCTTCTCTATTGTTTTGTATACATTTATTCTTACTACTACACGATAGTATCTTATCTGGTATTTAATTTTTTTCATCTCATTTTGTTACTGATAAGATATTGTATTAGTTATTTATGTATAAAGACAAATTATAACCCTATAAAAAGTTTCACTTTGGAATGAGCAATAAAATTTAATTACATGCGACTAGGAATTATCGCACAATAAGTGAATTTGGAAAAGTTGTGAAAACATATCAATTTTCAAAAGAACATTAAATGTCAAAGCCATACAATAAGAATATTTAATTATTTCAGAAAATGAAGTAAAAAAGAAAGGTTTTGTAAATTAGTGAATTATTAAAAGCAAATTTTTACTTTAATCTTTATGGACATATAACGAGTCTTACATTAATATTCCAAAAAATTCATTAATATAAAATTTTATAATACTTTATATAATACTTTATATTTACTTAAATATTCAAATAATTAATTACATGATAAGGTACAATTTCATGCTTGTAGTAAAAATAATAATTTATCCATTTATATATATTTCTTATTTATATATAAATTTATAATAACTAAAATATATGCAAATATGACTTAAAAAATAAAAAGCATTTTTTTTAATGTATTAGAGACACGAGTTTTGTTGTACTACTCGTATGCTGAAAATATGAAAATATTGGCATAAAATGTTAATATCATTAGTTTATTTATTTTAAATATTGTAT